GGGTGAGGTCCGGGGGCTGGAAGGAGCCACAGGAAGAAAGGAGATCGGGGTCTGAACTCTGCCACTGACCTACCTGGTGATTCTAGAAAAGGCCTCAGAAACACTCAGTTTTCTAGTCTGAGAAATGAAGAGATGTGATTGGGTCCGGGATGTCATGTCGGTCTCACCCACACCCCCCACTTCCAGTGCCTTTGACACACCTCGCTAATCTCTCAGTGCACACATTTCTGATGAGTGTTCCGAGTTCTCTTCGGCACACTGGCCCCATACATCCATCACCAGTTGGAGTTGGCAGGAGACGGGAATGTATTTACCAGCCCTGGTACTGGATGTTCTCCAGTACTTTTCTTCTGGCTTCCAAGGATCCAGCATTTTCTAGAATTCTCCAATCCCTCTGTGGCCTTGTCAGTGATGTCATGGTGTGTGCATGTAGCTCTTTAGTCACCAAGAAAGGAGAGATTGGTATCTGCAAATCCATGTGCCCTTCCTGATTGGTTGCACCTGATTATTTTCAGGAGCTTCTGGAAGAGGTGAGGAAGGAATTGCAGAAAGTGAAAGAGGAAATAATTGAAGGTAAGGCGGTTGTTTTTTTAAAAAATATATATTTTATTGATTATGCTATTACAGCTGTCCCAATTTTTTTCCCTTTGCCCCCCTATGTCCAGTACCCCCTTTCCTCCAGCGATCCCCCTGCCTTTAGTTCCTGTCCGTGGATCATGCATGTAAGCTCTTTGGCTTCTCTGTTTCCTATGCCACTCTTAACCTCTCTGTGTCTGTTTTGTACTTACCGATTATGCTTCTTAATCCCTGCACCTTTCCCCTGATTCCATCTCTTCCTCCTTCCAACTTATAACCCTCCAAATGATCTCCGTATCTCTGATTCTGTTCCTGTTCTGCTTGTTTGCTTAGTTTGTTTATTTAGATTATGTCATTGCGGGTTTTGAATCTGTTGCCCTTTTAATGTTCATAGTTTTGATCTTCTTTTTCTTAAGTAAGTCCCTTTAACATTTCATGTAGTAATGGCTTGGTGATGATGAACTCTTTTAGCTTTACCTTGTCTGGGAAGCACTTTCTCTGCCCTTCCATTCTAAATGAGAGCTTTGCTGGATAGCGTGATCTATCTTGTAGGGGTGTGCTTTTCATCATTTTGAATACTTATTGCCAGTCCTTTCTTGCCTGCAAAGTTTCTTTTGAGAAATCAGCTGATAGTCTCATGGGAACTCTTTTGTAGGTAACTCTGCTTTTCTCTTGCTGCTTTTAAGATTCTCTCTTTATCTTTAACCTTTGGCATTTAATTACTTTTAGAGAGAGGGAAAAGAAGGGGGAAAGAGAGAGAGAGAAACATCAGTGTGCTACAGAATCAGTTGTCTCTTGCCATGCCCTCAACTGGGGACCTGGCCCATAACCCAGGCTTGTGCCCGGACTGGGAATTGAGCCAATGACCTCTTGGTTCACAGGCCAGCACTCAATCCACTGAGCCACACCAGCCAGGGCAAGCTTTGGCATTTTAATTATGATGTGCCTTGGTGTGGTCCTCTTTGGATCCATCTCATTTAGGACTCTATGTGCTTCCTGGAGTTGCATGTCTATTTACTTCACCAAAATAGGGAAATTTTCTTTCATTATTTTTTTCAAATAAGATTTCAACTTCTTGCTCTTCCTCTTCTCCTTCTGGCACCTGCATGATTTGGATGTTGGTATGTTTAAAGTTGTCCCAGAGGTTCCTAAGCCTCACCTTGTTTTTTAAAAATTCTTTTTCCTTCCTGCTGTTCTGATCTAGTGCCTTTTCCTTCCTTGTGTTCCAAATCGTTGATTTCATTCTCAGCTTCATCCTCTCCACTATTGGTTCCCTGTAGATTTTTCTTTATTTCACTTAGTGTAACCTTCATTTCTTTCCTTATGTTCTTGCCATACTCAGTGAGTTCTTTGAGCATCCTGATCACCAGTGTTTTGAACTCTGCCTCTGATAGGTTGGTTATCTCTGTTTTGTTAAGTTTTTTTTTCTGGTGTTTTGTTCTGTTCTTTCATTTGGGCCCTGTTGCTGTGTCTCCTCAGTTGGGCAGCCTCCCTGTGTTTGTTTCCATGTATTAGGTAGAGCTGCTTTGACTACCTGTCTTAGAAAAGGCACGTGTAAATTGTGTGGGGCAGAGCCTTAGGTAATCGCCAGGGCAGGGCAACCTGCTTCACAGGTTTGCGGCTCTGTGTGAGGGGAGGGCGCGTAGAAGGGGCATTGCTGGTACCTGGCTCCTGGAGGTTTGCCAGGCACTCACCCTGTTTCCAGTCACTTCACCCACTTCCCGAATGCAACTGGCACCTTTCCAACTCTTGTCCTGGTGGTGTATCCCAGAATGGGTGGGTTTGCATGCATTCTAAATCTGCGGGCCCTTTAAACGGACTCTCCTGAAAACCCAGCAGTTTCTTCCACTGCCCCAACCTCCACTGGTTTTTACAGCCAGAAGTTATCTTTTACAGTGGATTTATCTTTCTGGCACTGGAACTCTGGCCTGTGCGGTCTAGCCTGGGACTGGGATCGCTCCCTCCCAAGGTATCCCTCCCAATTTTTATGCACCACCCCTGAGTGTGGGACCTGGGACTACCCGTTCGCCACCTCTCCACAACATCCTGCAACTCCGCAACACACCGCGTCTCTGCGCCTCTCCACCCATCTCTGCCACTCCATCCCTTCTACCCGTCTGGATGAATGTGGCTTCTTTAAATCCTGGGTTGTGGGACTTCCCCACAGCTCGATTTTCTGACAGCTGTGGTCATTATTTGTTTTGAGATATAGTTGAAATTCTTTTCTGTGGTTGTGGGAGGAGGCAAAGCGTGTCTACTCACGCCTCCATCTTGACCGGAAGTCAAAGTTGTTTTTTTAAACATTTATTTTGAAGGCATCCTGTCCCTTGGAAAAAGCCCTGTTTTGGAAGGGAAGGGGGAAGAGGCTCTGCCCCTGACCTCTGCCCTTTGTTTCCTTCCAGCCTTTGTCCAGGAGCTGAGGAAGAGGGGCTCCCCCTGACCACAGGGCCCCAGAAGAGCGTGTTTCTCCTTTCTGCACACGCTGCCTGTCACCCTGCTTTCCCTGCCTCAACCTAACTTGGAATTGGCTGAAGAATACACAGGAATGCGGCTTCCCCACTCCTCAGGGGGTGTAGCCTCTGTCATGCCCCCCCCCCCGCCCGTACTGGCTGCTGATTGGCTGGGGAGGCCCCCACCTTTTGCTCCCTTTAGTCCCTCTCCTCTGCCATCCCCTTGGGGCGGGTTCCTTTGCGGGGGATGTACGAATTAACCCCACAGTAAGGGGGAAGGAAGGAGGGAATTTCACATTCCCTTGTTCTAGATTTCACTTTAACGCTTAATGCCTTCGAATTTTTGTTTTTTTAAGAAAAAAAATATATATATATTTAGGTTTTTGGGGGGAGGGAAATTTTTTTCTCTTTGGTTTTGATAAATGGGGTTTGGGGAGTTTTTAAATGCCGTAGCCCAAGGCTCGTTCCATTTAGGGCAGCTATTTAAGGGGGATGTCCCACCAGGCTGGGGGCACCTCCCCTGACCCCAGGAACATCCCTTCCCTTTGGCTCCTTCCCCTTTTCTATGAGGAATTAAGACGCTGTAACTTTTTGGAACCTCAGTTTTTTGGTTTTTTATTTGGGTAGGGTTTGGGGCCAGGCCATTTTCACCCGCTGAGGGGAGATAAGATGAGGGAGAAAGAAGGGGAAGGAAGCTCCCCTCTCCCACCTTCACCTTTAGCTTTTTGGAAATGGGCCCCTGCAGAATAAATCTGCCAGTTTTGATAAATGCTAAGGTCTGGAGTGATTTAAAGGGCTGCTCTGAGGAGGATGGGGCGTCCGCTCCCCTCCCCCATGTCCACCTGCCCCTCCTCTTCCTTCTCCGCTCCTGCACCTGCGCCAGTCCCTGGGGCTCCATCCGCCAGGGGCTCTGCCCGGCTCCGCCCTCTTGGGCCCTCGCATCGGACCTCCCTCTGTCCCTCTCCGTGCCCCTCACCTGGCAGCTTCCTCACTCCTTTCTCCCCCTTCCTCCCCCAGTGCCAAGCCATTTGCCATCTTAGGGAAAGCCCAGGGCTGTCCCTCATGGACAGTGTGGCCTGCGGCAAGTCCCTTTGCCGGCCCTGGACCTTGGTTTTCCCATCTCGGAAAGGACTCATGGATGACCCCTGCCCCCTTCCCATCGGAGCCCTCCCAGCTTCTAATTTTAGCGACCCTTGTACCCACCGTACAGACATACCCCATGGCTCTCAGACACATGAAGATGACTCCTTTACCCCCAAACTCCTTTAATTATGAGACATTTGCAGTCTAAAAAAATAGAGTTCAGAAGTCACGGAGCTCATACACACCCCTTTCAGTGGTTCAGTGGGGGTGGGTGACGTAGCTAACACTGGCTGGTGGAATGCTCCCTTTGGATGGGAGTCTGGAACTTAGGGCTGAGGGGCTGGTGGTCCCATGGAGGAAGCCTTTGCATGAAGGAGGTTGGCACGGAGGGGGCGGGCGGGGGCGGGGGCGGTGAAGTCTCGGGGACCAGTCCAAAGGCAAGGAGGGGGAATCCCTGAGTGCTCTGAAGTTCAGGAAGATGGGGTCACAACAGTTACCCCTGTAGGAGGACAGCAGGCCCACCCCAGTGAAAGGCCGTGGGGGTGGGAGTGGTAAGGTCAGCAGCGGGTCCGGAACTGCTGGGAAACGGGGCTTTGGAACAACTGCTGGGCCCCAGGCAGCACCAATCCTCCCAACCCAGAGGGCCACGTCCTGCTGGAACAGGCCACGGAAGCGGGGGAGGGGGCGCCTGGTGGAACTGCCTGGGAGGACCCCGCACAGCCTTTCCAGCGGGTTGCGCGCGTTGTGCCGCAGATCGAGGGTGGCGGCGGTGTTTCTGCTGGAACGACCCACTTAAGGAGAGGAGGGCCCCCGCAGAGGTGCCGATGGTGGACTAAAGTCCGGTGCCCCAGGGTGACTCATTGGAGCTAAATCTCTCCAAGATCCATCCTTATCTTTCTTGCTGCTGCCACCACCATCCCCACCCCCCAATGGTGAGGTGGATGGGAATTTCTGCATTTCCATTGACAATGGTCAAAGAAGGGGCAACCAGTGTTCCAGTGTAGTGGGAAAGGGCCGCTCCTGAGGTAAGTGGAGGTGTGAGTGGCAGAATGAGAGTTGAGCTGTTTGTGCGTCCTGCTGGCCCATCTAGTGGCGGATGTGACCAAAAGCCTGGTTGGATCAGCCCTAGTCTAGGACCTCTCTGCTCCTAAATGGACTGGGTGGTATTAGTTGGGCAGGTTCAGGAAGGGACAGGATGGACAGAAGGCCATGTCGGAGGAGTCACATCTAAGACCCGGGCCCTGCTGCCTCCTATTCCTCAGGCGTGGACTCTGCCTGGGGCATGGGCAGCGCATCCCCATTTCGGATGCAGAGCAGGGCACGCACCTCCTGCATCTGCGCCCGCAGCTCCTCCAGGGCGGGCGGTGGCACCGCCACCTGCTGCACCTGCATCTGCAGCGCCTCCAGCACCAGCGCCAGGTGGTCCACCTCATCCCGCACCGTGTCCCAGGCAATGCGCCGCTGCTTCTCCTTGCGACGATGGTGCCTCTTTTGGCGCCAGTACTCCAGCACCAGGCAGCTGCAAGCCACTACGAAAATGGTGGCCTCACCCAGCAGCTGGGCGCCCAGCTCTGCAGCCGCCTCCTCGTTCAGTGGCTTGACGGCTTCGGCATTGAAGCCCATGATGCGCATCTTGGTCCGCATCTCCGCCCAGTGGTACACTGTGAGGGAATAGAGGGGTCAGCGAGCCTTTGCTGGGGAGTCCCCTGCCATCCCCGCCCCTCGACTCCTTGATGTCAGGAACACTGGGAAAGGCAGCCCGAATCTCTGTTGCTGGGGAGTGAGTGCCATAAAGAAGACTGGCAGGCGAAGAAGACGCCGGCGCTCCAGGCCTTGCACGATGAGTGCTGAGTTAGTTATTTGGGCTGGGGTGGCCCAGAGGGCATCTTTTGAAAGTATCTAGAAGACTCTGGCGAGCAGCTGAGAATGAGAAATGTTTCCTTTGGAGGGGAGGTTCTGAGGTGACAATCCAGAGCAGGGATAGATTTTGCTCCCTCTCGTCCTCACCCCTCTCCCCACTTCGGGACCAGACAAGCCCCGTCCCGCCTCCCCAGAAGGCAGAGCTGACAGCTCCTGAAATGTGTGCACTGCGTGCGTGGTGTTGGAAGGAGCCCACGGCTTGAGCAATACCGCTTTAATGATAACTTCTTTACCTAATCACTCATTCAGAAAAATAACGATGATCAGCATTGTCTTTGTTGGTAAAAGTAACAAACACAGAGTTGATGCTGAAACGTGACTCACTCCAGTAATAACATTCACCCGTTGATACATGAGCTGCTGGAGAAGACAAGGAGCCCCTTCGGGCTCATGAAGAGATGGGTTCCTGAAAGCATTTTATACTTCCCCCGTCCAGCCATGCTCTGCAACAGCCAGGCTGACCTAATTACCTTTCCTTCCTTTTAGGTGGAAAGATGACACATGCACATGGGGTATTAGACTCCGCAGTAATGGGTGTAAAGATAAAGGCAGCCCCCCCCCCCCGCACCGCCTGCATTAGTCCTGCTCTGCAAAAACGTTTTGATCTTTTCTGCATTTATTTCTTCCACATTCATCCTATGATGCCAGATTACCAGCTTATACCTCTAGTTCTTGGTTTAAAAAATTGAATCTTTAAAAATATTATGACTTGATTTTCTACTGCCATCCCCACTTGTGTGAATTAAACACGTATTCTATATCCTTTCCTTCCCCTCCCAAGTTTTGCTGGTGATTCTTAATTTGTTTCTATTTATTGATAACCAATACAAAAATTCTAAATTATTAGCCCTGGCTGGTGTGATTCAGTGGACTGAGTGCCGGACTGCAAGCCAAAGGGTCGCTGGTTCAATTCCCAGTCAGGGCACATGCCTGGGTTGCAGGCCAGGTTCCCAGCAGAGGATGCATGAGAGGCAACCACACATTGATGTTTCTTTCCCTCTCTTTCTCCCTCCCTTCCCCTCTAAAAATAAATAAATAAATAAATAAACAATTTTAAGTGACATGCCTATTGCCTCAACTTCCTGATATGTGCACCTGTATATAACATCTCTGTGCAAGAGAGAAGCAGTTGTCTCTCACGTGCTACCAAACAGGGACCCGGCCCCCATCCCAGGCACATGTCCTCATCGGGAACCAAACCTGCAATCCCTCGACCCCTTGGTTTGCAGGCCGGCACTCAATCCACTGAGCCACACCAACCAGGTCTCAAGATGCCTTTCTGAGGTTATTAATAAGTCTTTATTGTTCTTTGTCCACTTTCACTCTAGGATAGATGATAGTTTCTTTAAAAAAAAATTATTGATTGATCTTAGAGAGAGGGAGGAAGGGGGAGGGAGAGAGAGAGAGAGAGAGGGTTCAGTTTGTTGTTCCACTTGTTGATGGATTCATTGGTTGACTCTTGTTTGTGCCCTGACCGGGGAATCAAACCCACAGCCTTGGCGTGTTGGGACGATGCTCTAACCAACTGAGCTACCCAGGTAGGGCTGCTAGACGATAGTTTCTAGGCCCAGAATTACAGGTTCGAAACTCCTTAGGAGCTGGGAGGCCTGGTTCCGTCGTGTGCCCTGGGCAGAGGGGCTCTCTGCCCGCACTGGGGCACTGACGTTGCACGAGCATGGGTTTGTGAGTGAGTTTCTCTTGTTTCCATCATTCTCTGCTTTTCTCTCTGAATCTTGTTTCTCTCTTTAGTCCTGGGGATTTTTCTTGTCCGTGCAGTAAAGGATTAACCTTACCCTATAAATAGGGGTCTGGCCTTGGCCCTTGGGTCCCGCGAGGAAGTCTTTAAGTCCTTGGAATGTCCTGTCTGAGAAGAGTGTCTTTGTTTACTTGGGGCCTTGGACCAGGCCAGATGACCTACACTAACAATATGATTTATGGGGAGCGCCTGGGGCCACATGGTATCAGCTCGGCCTCCGGAGGCGCTAGAAGCTAAGGCCAGCCGCGCGGTCCCCGAACCCTGTCCGTGTGACCCACCCGCACTGAAAAGCCTGGAGAGCCTGGCTCGGGCGAGCTCCCGGCCGGCCGGCACCACTCCAGGCGTCGGTCGCTCAGCGTCGCTAGGGCACGCTGGTGCTGCCCGCGATTCCACCGGTTCAGCTGGGACTCACTCACACTTGGAGCCCTCCTGGATTCTGCCCTGTGCGCTTCTTCCCTCGGCTGATTTTAATCTATATCCTCTCTCTATAATAAACTGTAACAGGGAGCCCTGACCAGGGTGGCTCAGTTGATTGGGCGCCCTGCCACAAAGCGAAAGGTCGCCAGTTCAATCCCCCATCAGGGCACATACCTGGGTTGCAGGTTTGCTCCCCAGTCAGGCACATGCAAGAGGCAACTGATCAATGTTTCTTTCTCACATCAATGTTTTTCTTCCCCTCTTTTCCTCTCCCTTACCCTCTCTCTAAAAATAAATAAACAAAATCTTTAAAAATACACTGTAACAATCAGTGAGTCCTGTGAGTCCTTCTACCAAGTTATTGAAATTGTAGAGTATTTAGGGGCACCCTGAACTTGCAGTTGGTGTCAGAGTGAGGGCACGGTGGGGTTTCTGGGGGGCTACTTTTGTTCTGTGAGTTTCTCGAACCGTTCTTTAGGAGCGATACACTTTGGTTTCAGTGTATTATATTTCCATGGAAGGTTTTCATAACCCTTTGAATCAAAGTTGTCCAGCCACCTTTCCAGCCTCCTCCAAGGCAGTTTCAGCTGTGGCAACTGGGGAGGATCAGCAATTATAATAGTTGCCATATGACAATACTAACTGCGTCACCCACAATCAGCCAGGACTTTGCTGCCACCCACTGCAAGGAGCCAAAGACAAAACAAGAGCACAGGGATGACCCAGCTCCCCCCCCACCCCCGCCTCGGGCCCATCGGCGGTGGCTGGGGGGCGGGGGGTGGGGAGGGCTGCATGGAGGGGCTCAAGGAGACGGGGGAGCGATGAGGTGTGTTCACGATCAGGGTGGTGGTGCTTTGACGCATATGTCAAAACCAAATTAAATTATACACTTTTTATGTGCACGTTACATTGTATGTCACGTATGCCTCAAGAAAGCTGCTTGGGGAAAAAACTTTAGACAGAATAAGCGCCTCCTTAGAAACAGAGAAAAAGGACTGAAAGAGTCTGTGGCAGCAGAAAGGGCACAGGATGGGAGCTGCTATTTGTATTACAAAATTTATAGAAAGATTTCATTCTTTAAGTGGAAAATAAAAACAGGTTCTTTAAGTGAAAAATAAAAACACATTAAAGAATTCCATTCTTCAAGTGGAAAATAAAAACACATTAATTAACTAACACATTAATGTAATCACACGATGTTTAGGGAAACTAAGCATTATCTTGTTTAGGGAACCGGCTATCCCCTCATCTGATTAGTGGCCAGGTCTGTAATTGAAACGTCACTGGAAAGTTATTACAGTTTAATTATAACAGATACAGAGAGGGCAAGGTGTAGGAGGGAGCAGAGGGATGGAAAGCAGGTCAGTAGTTTGCTGAGGGCAGTAGTAGAAGTGGATTGCAAAGGACCAAAAGGAAATTTGAAGAGAGATGGAAACACTTTGTATCTTGACTGTGGTTGTGGCTTCATTAAGTATTCCTGTGATAAAAAACTGCTTACAGAAAATCAGCCCTGGCTGGTGTGGCTCAGTGGACTGAGTGCCAGTCTGCAAGCCAAAGAGGCTCTGGTTTGATTCCCGCTCTGTGCACATGCTTGGGCGATGGGTCAGGTCCCCAGTAGGGGGCGCGCGAGAGGCAACCACACGCTGATGTTTCTCCCTTTCCCTCTATCTAAAAATAAATAAATAATTTTTAAAAAATAAAGAAAATAAAATCATGATCCCCCGGCCCCCATAACCCATTAATAAACTTGTTTTTTATTCATTAGCTTTCTCATTTCCCATCTAAGCCTAATACCCAGCGTAGATCGTAGGCTGTAGGTAGAAGGTAGGTTGTGGGGCAGTTGTAGTCTGTCCTATGCTTAGGTAACCACTAACGCGGAGCGCCGCGCGGCGCCTTCTGAGCCGTGGCGGGCACACCTCTAAATGGTTCCTAATAAAACGGGCCCTTATTTTTGACCTCCTACTCCCTCTCCCTATTTTTTCATCTCCTTTGCTTCCCCCCTCAACCCGTCACTTGCAGCTCCCTCATTTAAAACACTTGATTTGCAAGGACTCATGGACAAAACCAAAGGGGAAGAGTTGAGGGAGGGAGGGAGGGAGGGAGGGGGCAAGGGAAAATAGTGGGGGGTAGGCAGAGACAAATGTATTTGAAAAAATAAATTAATTAAAAATAAATAAATAAAATACTTGATTTGGATAAAGTTCTCCCAACAATTAACGTAAAATATTAATAAGAGGGCAAATGCCGTTTTCCTCAGACAATTTGATGGGCCGAGCACCTGGCAACCGGGAAAGACCTGTGTTTCTCAAACAGCCGCCAGTGATGAAATCACTGGCCAGAGAGGTGATTGGACCCAGTCTCCAGGGACTCTCCCCTCCCAGAGAGTTTAAAGGCCTAAACTCCTGCCAGGTCTTTCTGCTGCTCAGCCCCCAACCTGAGTCACCTCATTAGTAGGACCCAGAATACCAAAAACTCATTTCGCCTCTGTAACATGCACCAACCGGGGACATCCAGAGGCAGGCCAGGGCCCAGGACCAGCGCCAGCGGGCAGTACAGGCTCCCCATCTTCTCAGGTGCGGGCCTC